ATTTTTATTTTTAGTTTTATTTTTCTATTACGACATTGTACAATTTCATATTTTTCTATTTTTTTTTTCAATTATACAATCATATACATACATTTTTACATACATATACATACATTTTTACATACATATACAAACATATACATACATTTTTACGTACATATACAAACATATACATACATTTTTACATACATATCCACACATATACATACATATACATTTTTACATACATATACAAAAATATACATACATTTTTTCATACATATACATATACATTTCACATACAAATCCATACATTTCATATACACACATACATTTTATCATAGATTTTTTACACCCATATACATAGATTTTTCACATATACATACATTTCACATACAAATACTCTTATACACATATTTTTTTATACATACACATAAATTTCATATACAAATACAAAATATACATTTATATTTCACATGCAACTACTCTTATACACACATTTTTTCATACATAGTCATACATTTCATATACAAATACATATATACATATACATTTCACATACAAATACCAACATTTCTTATACCAACATTAAAAACAGAAAAAAAACCAGGAAATCATTTAGGTGGTGGTGCTGTGGTCGAGGTCGCCGGAGTAAATGTGGTATCACCGGAGAAGAGGTGGTGTCACCGGAGATGTTGCTGTGAAACCACCAAAATCACACCAAAATCCAAAATTAACACACAAATTCGTTCTAGAAATGAAATTGAAAGAGAAATGAGGGAGGGGAGCACCTACCATTGTTGCAGATGCCGGAAAAATTGGAGTTTGTTGCCGGAAAATGTATCACAGCGTCGGCCAAATGTGGGGGAGAAGAGGAGTGAAGAGGAAAGGAGAAATGAGAGGGTTTGTGGTGATGGTCACCGATCAAATCGAGAGAATGGGGGTGTTTTTGGCAGGAAAATCGCCGGAAAATGTGTAAGAGATTTTTGGAGTGAAGTTGTAACTTGTTCTGAGAGACGATGGGGAGGTAAAGCGGTCGTACCCTTTAGCGGCGACACGTTGGAGGGAAGATATCCCGCGTCTTGTTTGGTGACTAGTAGCGACGACATAGTCGTCTCTATTGCCGTCGCCGCTATTGCCTTGGTACGGAGAAACCCTGCCCGTTGGATCATATCCAAAACGAACAACTACGATTCAGTCTGGGCGAAGTCACACGGATCATCGACGTGGACTATTAGAGGCGACCCTTTAGCGGCGACCCCAAGCTTTTAGCGACGACAAACCGCGTCTTGTCACATGTCGTCCCTAATACTACCAGTCATCTCTAATGGCGTCGCCCCTAATAACTATATTTCTTGTTGTGTTTCCTGCACAGATAAAATAGTCAAAACAATTTGAGTTTTTTTTTCCACAGTCAAAGCGGGGATAGGAGTGTGCAAAAATTAGATCTTCACCATGTTCCCGATTTCCACTTAACGAAGGAAAAGAAGAGAAAGTATTGGTAATGAGAAGAAAAAAAACTATCTTTGTGAGTTTCACTAAAGGAAGGAAGTGGAAGGAAACAGAAAGTTCATTTTCTCTCCTAACTTTCCTTCAAATTTGGAAGGATTTGGAGAGAAATGAACAAAGTGTTTTCCTTCCACTTCTCTTCAATTCAGAAACACAAAATACAAATTTCTTTTCATTTCCTTCTCTTTTTTCCTTTCCTTACTTAACTTCCCCTTCTTCACATTTCTTTAGTAAAACACGAGAACTAGGCGTAAGAGAGTCTCCTTGGTTTATTTATTTATTATTTGTATTCTTTGTCCTCCTAAGAACCAAGGTCTCCGATATGCTTTACAAGCAGACTAATGCCCATACGATTACCTACATCACAAGTAGCCTGAAGTCCTCGTGGGTGAACCTCTGTGGCCATAATGAGGTTTTTTCTCCTCATTGGATTAGAACTTGTGACCTCGTGGCATTTAACCTTATTTGGAGGAAGTTCTAACAAACTTGGCACCACCCTTGTGACTCCTTGGTTTTCCAACCTTTATATAAGGGACAAACCTTAGGAGCTTTCTTTGTCTCCAACTTTGCTCAATTATGGCAACAATGTTGTAAGTCAAACTTCAAGCTTATTACATAAAAGCCCATGAATTTTAGTTATTTCATTATTTATTAATAAATATTTAACAACTCAATCCTTCTATTTATTTATTCTTGCTTTTTAGTTTCATCCTAGTGTGTAACTTAATAGGCTTGCGTATTTATTAATTATGTCACCATCTTGTTGTATCGGCAGGCATATCTCAAATAATTCTTACTAGACATTTTATTGTCTAACTTTACTTTTGACATGTAGTCATATTGAAAAAAATTAATATAACAAAGATATTTTGAAGGCCACAGCTTTTGATGGTAATCTTAAACTATGTTATGATACTGAATTGTCACAAGCTTTTTCTTTTAAAATATGAACAATTATTTTAGTATTTGAGACCATTATAATAGGTATATGCAAAACATATAAATCTTATGTGCGCATGCAACCCTAAAAATTGATCTATGTTTTCTCTAATTGAATATACAACTTGAACAACAAAATAGAAACCCTTGTACACTAGCATATATTCGAAAAATACATATAGGGTGATAAAAATAATACCTTGATTGTTATATAGTAATAACAATGTAAATCCTTGTGTTGTTGAAACCTTGAGAGTAAGCGTCACAAATGTCGTGCCTTTAGTGGTTCTCACCCAACACTAGCGAAAGAAGATGATTGAGAATGAGGAGGGAGGAAGAATTTTCGGCCTAACCCTACAAGGAGTAGCATGGCCGAAATTCTTAGGGTTGAGGTTGTATATATAATGCAGTCAGGAAACCCTATATAAGCCCTAATCCAAGACTATCTTAAACCGAGTAATTATCCACTTTCCTGTTTATCTACACGGGATCATTCTAGAATCCCTTAGCCTACAAGAAACTGTCCAAGCTTAATGGAGGGTTCTAGAATGCCTCTTGCTCAACTATTGAACAATTGTATTTCAGTCCCTGCACTTTTAATTACTTCCTTTAATCCTAAAATTAATTCCAATTAATTTATGATTAAATATTAATTAAATATTACCATTTCTAATTAATATATTATTTTCATAATATATTAACAAATTATTTATTTCAAATTTTTAATCAAATAATAAATCGATCATTTGTCCAGTTGCTAGTTTTGAGGGCAACCCAAAAGGATTCTGCTACTATTAATTTAAGTACATGCCAATTATAGTTATGGGCTTAGACACCTAATCCAACAGTCTCCTACTTGTATATGTCTAATAACTATAATTGGCAGTATAACTTCTAAAACCGATTAGCAAATCGTAGCTCTCAAAAGCCATTGTCGAGCTCTGACCTGGTCAGTCACGTGTCCTAAGATAAGTGATCAAATATTCCTCCATTCTACAAGATATCGTATAGACATGAGACATGGATTATAATCAATCTCATTGTCCAAGTTTTTTTTCCCGATTTTTGATTTATGACAACTGTATTCAGACTGTTATTTGAACACATCCATTCAGTCCAAGCTTCGCCAAGCACTTCAGATGTGGACAACAAATCATTAAGGGTCCCACGGATAGCGCTTTTCCTGTTAGGGCAAAAGGAACGGATAAACTTTGACTTATATACTTGCAATATTTACTCATCAAATCACACACAACGATACGTTTTATAATATCAAGTTACTGACGCGTTTACGTATTATCAATGTACAAATGACTTGTAAACAACAACTCATATATCTCCGTTTCAAAAATATAAGATATTATCATCTCAAAATTACTCGTGATAAAATCCATAAAGTAATTCTCTGAGCATGGGTTTATCCAATACTCAAAATCTCCATTTTCCAAGTACTGATGAACATTTTAGCAAAACCATTGCTGTGTCTAATCTTCATAAACAATCTATAATCCAGTTCACAATAGTCTTAATTCACTACTTACTCCCAAAAAGTACGAGTGACTGGATTTTCGAATAATCAAATTATTTAGGAAGTAAAACATGCAAAGTGAAACACAATAATAACCTAATTAACTATGGTCTCAAAATTATTGAATATAAATAAAACCCTTACTTCTTAATCACCATATTAATTAGACTTTATTCATTGTATAATGTTTCGAGTAATCAACTAAACACTTGAATTAAACATCAGTCATGCCATGTTATAAACATGCATACTATGTTTCTCTATGGTCCTTCCTTTGTGAACAGATCGATTGGACACTGTTCCAATTGTGTTCATTTCACAACTCCAAATTCTTGTCACTTTTAAATGTGTTAGAATTCCAACTTTCCATGCAATTTCCTTTTGTGATGTCGAGGCCTCGAAGTCACAAAGACTTTGCCAACGATATTATAAAATGTTCCATTGAAACTTTGTTACTAAAACAATTCCATGGTAATGAAGTCTCAAATTCAAGATACACTCCTTGAACACCTTCCTTGCATTAAAGTTCCTAACTTACATGTAGATTTCAGTAACCAAATCCCATTATGGAAACATTTTTATATTCTTATATGACTATCCATTTTGACCAAGAATCATCTCAATCCTAAACATATCACTATGGTCCTACCAAACAATACTATACTTCCAACTGTCTACAAGAAACCCATCCATTGGTATAACCTCATAATGTTCTTGACAGTTGTTCAACTTCATTCATTCAAAGCTCTAGTCCTTTTCCCTCTCAATTCCCAAAGCATTTGAAAAAATCAAAACAAGTGAATATTATAGCATATGCGATCGATCCTATATTCAAGCATATGG